TATTTACAGTGAGGTATAGGGTTAGGTTCTACATAAGTGAAAAATAAGCTAATAATTTTGTTTATTAATACAATATAATACAAAATACATATAAATTTTTAATTTTTAAAATGTATTTTATCATAAAATAAAGTGAAATGTTTTTATTAAAAAATTTTAGTTTCGGATCTCTTACATTTTTTGGAAAAAAGTATCCATCTTTAATTGTTTACATTTTTGTTTTCTTTCATTGAGAATTTTGGAATATGGTCGAATGGATGCAATGATGCTTCTTTTTACATTTGCACTTCGCTCCCAATCATTGTCTAACTCACAAAGTTCATCTGTCAAATTTTCCATAGTTGAAAGGATACGTTAACCCGACATAGAGCTACTGACGAGCAGAGACACTGATTGGTCGACCACCGGTCGCCGTAGTGCATATGTAAGGTCAGTTTGAGCGGGAAAATTGAAGGTGGATAAGGAGAGATAGATATCGTCTGGCTAATAAAAAAGTATCGCCTGGCCAATGAGAAGTAGATTTGTCTCACTAATGGTAGTTTGTGATCGCTGGAACTGCTACTGCATCGTAAGGGTTTTCATATACAAACTGATATGGGATACATTCATTGGCGCTAAGGATTTGGACGCCATTTATTGAATTATTAAATTTGATAACTTGACTCGTGGGTACCTAAACATTTAATGTTTTAATATTAATTTAATGCAAATGTATACATACCCAATAATATTAAACAGAAAAACTAAATATATTCAATAAAAATCTTTGTTTTAACGAATGTACAATGTCGCGGCTCGGGAAATACGTCAACACTGAAATGAAAATCAGTCTGGCATAGGGAAAATTGGAAAACTACAACACAAAAAGGCAAATTGCATAGCGGCGTTATCGTGAATCGGCGTAAATTGAGCAGGCGTAAACCGAGGGCTACCTGTATAAGTACGGTACAAATTATCTTGAAAATTATTTATACTAATATCCAACAATTAATCTTTGTAATCTGATATCTTTGTTTCCATAATCTGAAATTTTTATTTAAAAACAAAATTTCTGTTCTATAAGAAAATATTAACAATATACAAATTAAATACAAACATTCAATATTTTATAATAAAAATTCAAACATATATAAACACACACAAAATAATTCATAAAGTTAAAGCATTATACACAAAACTACAGAATATTTTACTACAAAACATATTGTTATATCACATATATTTTCAAAAACTATTAATATCAATAATTTTATTATATACCATTTGTTCTAAGTTCACTAGTTGTCCATCTGTTTTGGCTAGCATTTGCTCTGCAAATCGTTTCTTTCTCAGCAGTAGTTTTGCTTTTCTAAACATTAAAAGTTAAGGATTACTAGAAAGTTTCATGTTTAATTTATACAATTAATTTTATATTACTTTAAAATAAAATTTTTACAATTATTATTATTATTAAATATAATTTAAAATAATAATTCATGATTATAAAAGTCAATTAAAAAAAAACCTCTGTCCTGTGGACACTGAGAGGCCTAAACATCCAGGACAAACCACTCTCTCAAACACTCCTGAGTTTCCTGCTCCAGAGTGTCTCTATTGCCTATTCCAGTCAATGATTTTTATTTTTTGATATAAACAATGATTTTTATTTTTTGATATAAACAAAAATAATATAATACATATTTTTAATAAATTGAAGATTTATAAATCTGTATAATAATTATACATGTAATTACTTTCTGAGTTACTTAGAAGTCAATAGACAGATCAAACTGTATTATTGTATATAACTTATGGTAGTATAAACCCAGTAGAAAATTGCTAGAACAAAAATAACTTTTGCATAACTCATCCCATCATATATTCCATGCTTATGGAAGTAGCCATTGCTCCTTAGGCATAGGTTTATAACTACAATTTAAATCAGCATATAATCTGTTCCCACAAAATAACCAGCACACCTTTCAAATTGCCTTTTACATTGTTATATGTACAAAAATATGGTAAATATTTTTCTCTAGTTTCTTTTATTTTTTAGCTTGATTGAAGAAGTTACCTTAATATCAGAGTCCATTTAGATCTGATGACCCTGATTGTAATCTGAGAAGAATTACTTTTTGCATACGAATTCATTTGATTTATAGTGGATTTAAAACTGATAATGATGATGATACAGAATTTATTATTATAGATGTTTCTCTATAAAACTATTTATTATCAATATAAAATAATTATTATTACAGAAATATCTCATAAATAATTATATCATAAAAAAATGTAAAACAATTACAGTGATTTCCTGTGCAAAACCTGAAGTCACTTGTGTTTTACAGTCAATTTGAAAACAGGTGTGGGCTGTGTGTTTTAGCAATTTTTGCAGGTTATATGCAGTAAATTAGGGTATATCAAACATCATAATCTTGGGAATGCAAAGTAATTTTCATTTTTTAGTTAAAAATAATTAACTTTATTCAATAATACTTACTCCTTTTTGCCATCCTGTAATAAGGTTTTAGCCAGAGCACGTTCTTTTTCTAGATTGACAGTAATTCTTTTCTGATATTGTTTCAGTTTATCCCTCTGTTGCTTCAGTTGCTAAAGTAAAGTGTTAATAATTTTGTTTAAAAAGTTTTAATTTTGATAATTATAAAGTAATGTAACAATAATCATTTATAAATATATTAATATATACACACACAACTAGTAATGTTAAATAATTACCAGTAAAATTTATGAAATAAATAGGCACAGTTTGTATTCTGCCTGAATACAAACTAAGAATTAAGTTGAAGTGAAAAACAAGTCAATAAGACTGTTTTAGAGGGGCCATTTGTGACAACCACTTGCTGCTACTGCAGCAGTGATGTTGCCACTGGCATAAAAAAGAATAAAAATTGCACACGTTCATGCTAGTAATCTTTATCTTGAAAACAAAATCACAGGATCATTTCATTTTAAATTTCATTTGACATTCTCATTTATGAAGTTGTCTCAAAAAAATGAGTTCTACTCCTGTAAAATTCCTATCTAGCAAATAATAAATTAAAAATCTTGTGATAGTATTAGGTCTTCATTGAACAAGGTTCAAACTCAGGTTTTTAGTATGCTTATAACATCCATTCAAGTTTATTATGCCACTTAAAAGCATCATTCAGTGTTGAAGAGCATTCAGTCATGTGTTTCTTGGGCAAGAAATCTTAGTTAGAGAAATTTATTGGCAAATTACAGAAGTACATGAATTGAATGCTGTCATGATAAATGGTTATGAAATGGTCAGACATTTCAAAACAGACTAACTGATGTCACACACAAATACAGAGCTGGGTAACCTTCCTTTAAATATAGTATATAGTATTTGTTGCTCAGTAATTTTCTTTGCTTTGTTCTACTCAAAAAACACATGGGACAGTAATTCTCTACAAATAAAGATAAAAGAAGTTTTAAAGTGATTATGGGAAATTAGATGGGATGTTTTTATCAGGAAATAGTCCATTGTGTAATGCTTATTTTCCAATAAAAACTTTTTTTGTGTTTATTTTAGGTAGGATGAAATTATTTTTTGACTTATCATCATATAATAGTGTTAAATATCTAATTTCTTAAATTTTATAATATAAATTATATAATTTTAAAATTATCTGAAATTACAAAATTTTTTGGAAATTTACAAGTTAATATCTCAGAAATGGGATAATATTGTGGAAATACAAAATAGAACCAAAACTCGGCAGAAAACAAAATGTTTAATGAGATTTTTGATAGCCTTAAGCTATCATTCTCGGGTTATATAAGTACAATTTAAAAGAAGAACATACGGAAATCAAACACCATTTTTTATAAAAAAGAAATGAAATCTGATTTAATGTTATGATGATGGTTAGTAGGAATTATTATTGGACTTCAAAGATGGCTCTCCAGACTTGAGAAAGAGTGTTACTGTTCTTGTAGTTTATAGCCACATTTTTTACAGGCCTTATAAATCTCCAATTTCTCAAGGTTTATGAGAGATGCATGTTATCTGGTTGAGTGTAAAAGTCAAGCTCCATCTTTGTGTATTACATACAAACACACAAAGATGGAGCTTGACTTTTACACTCAACCAGATAACATGCATTTCTCAAGGTTTATGAGAGATGCATGTTATCTGGTTGAGTGTAAAAGTCAAGCTCCATCTTTGTGTGTTTGTATGTAATGCTCCTCAGCAATCACCACAGTGGTGAAACTCACAGGTCGGCCTTCAGGCTGGGGCCTCACTGCTCCGTTCCCCAAGCCGAAATTTTCGCTATCACAAAGGCTATCGACTACATCTATACAGAGTGGTTCCCTCATAACATGACTATTGCCATCTTNTTAAAGGATATTTTTTTGACAACTGATTTTAATATGTTTTGTTTATACGATGATAACTTAAGTTCTGTGATGTTATATGAAATTTATAAATTTTTCTGTTATTCATTAAACATGTTAACATAGTTTTACTAATTTAAGTTATATCAATTGTTATCTATTTATAATTATGTAAAACAATGTTTGTATTAATAATGTTGTTAAAAGTTCTGTAACCCCTTTGTAAAGGCAAAAGCCATAACAAATAAACAATTGATTCAATATTGTTATTACCTTTTGGTTCTTCTTTAGGTATTTCAGGAAATTTGATTTCTTCTTTAGCTTCTTCTTCAGCTTCTTCTTCAGCTTCTTCTGGAACATTGGGCATACTTTCGGCAACAATGGCTTCTAACTCATCTAGAACGGCATCCTCATCTTCTTGAGTGAGATAACCAGAGAGCAGTTCATCAATTTCCTAAAATATAATTACATTATTATTATATTAGAGAGTGATTATTTGTTTGGAGAAATGATACAATAGATGAGTGTCAGGAAATTAACAAAAATAGTATGAGATTATCTATTTCTACTAAACTATTTGGCCATAAGTCTAGTAATTGTTTTGTCCTTAACTTCTAGTTTGTGTAGAAAGGAAACAACAAGAACTCATTGACAGACTAGTATTTTTGGAAATTAACAAAATATAAGTTAAGAGGAGTGTACAATGTTTTAGAAGAGTTTAAAATTGTGGAAAAAATTTTAAAAATTTAGAAATAGAGATTGATGGTTTGAAGGATCAGTTTAGCAGAGTAATGATTTTAATAAAAATTGGAGAAAGAATGGAGGGAAAATACAAGGAGAGAGAAACAATGAGGATAAATTGAGAAAAGGAACAAAATGAAAATAATGGTAGATGATATGTGTACAGGAAGTTAAGATAATGTGAAATATAATATATTTGATTTAATAAGAAATGAGAAGGATTGTTTGAAGAAATTCAGCAATCAGCGGTATACATAAAAAATTAAAGACAATGACAGTGAATAGTTCCTATATAAGATCAGTTATTTGAAACTTAGAAACTAGGATTGAAAAGCACTGGAAAGATGCAATCAAAGAAAGCCATGAAGTGGAATGAAACTAGATTTATATTTAAGGAAAAAATTCAACAAATTTGAGAATGATGGAGCAATTAAATATTTACACAAAATTTCATTTAAAGTTTAGTTTCTTTTATTATTTCCACCATATTGTACTAAGAAGGCCATTTTTTTCTGTACTCATCATAAGTTTGGCCTGACTCACAATGGGCAGGCAGGCAGTGAGGGATAGGACCCAACTGATTTGAAGAAGACTGCCCATGCTAATTAGCTGCACATCCCATATTAGATCCATGCTAATTAGCTGCACATCCTTTTATATTTATTCCTAAGCTCCCATAGTAGTAGGTAGACATATGCCTTAACTTCCTCGGCCATCCAACCGTCAAGCTTCTAACACTGTCCTGACAAATGTCCAAACTCTTGATTTATTTAGCATTTTTTACTTCTGCTTTTTCTTTTATATTTTTATAAAATAAACAAACAAACAAACTACATGTATATTCATATTTCATGGGCAATATTGCTAGATCTGTAAAAAATCATTTGATTATTTTATGAATTAACATGCAATTTCTTTTTATGATTTGGACTATTTTCAACTTTCTGCATTGCAAAGTCTCAAACTGACTTAAAAATTTTGTTGTACAAATTGTAATGTCAGTATTATAGATAGGAAGAAAAAACTAAGCTAGTTGTATTTGGACTAAACTTGTTAGTTGTATTTTATCTTTACAAATCAGTAATGATAAAATACAACTAGCAGGTTACCTTTACTAATAATGCTTTGATGATTGATGACAGGCATAGTTGAATTCTATTTAATGTTAATTAAAATATACAAACAGACTCAGACTTGTCATTCAGTACTGCAGGTCACAGAAGCCCCTACTACGTGTGCATGAACAACCATTCCCCTTTAGAAATCTGTTAGGTCTGATATAATCATGTCCCAAAAACAAGCAAATAATTTTTCAACAACAAAAGTAATGAAGTTTATCAACAGTAACATAAGCTATGCAAATCAGAAAAAAAGAGATGGTACCTGTGATGGCTCATGTTTCAGGAAAAGTTTAATTCAACTATGATAAAAGGGGCATTAAATTATGTCAAATTATTTTGTCCAACCCCTGTAAATATCAGGTTATTCTGTATATTTTAATATTCAAAATATCTTATTAATATATAAACTGATGATATTTTTCTGTAAGATATGGAAATGTAGATGTACAGAGTATTTTCTTCAGTGATATGAAGCTGTTCAGATATAAATGTACTTCAGAGAGATAAAAAGAATAAAAAATAAACAACTTAATAAATAAAAAATAGAGTTAAAAAATGTTCACTGATGATAAGCCAATTAAAAAATACATGGAACCTCGGTATACGACCTTAATCCGTTCCTGGTGTTTGGACTTATACCGAACCAAGCTTTTCCATAAGAAGTAATGTAAAAATGATAAATCCGTTCTCATGTAAAAAAATGGCTGGCTTTAAACACTTCGCTTTCCTGGCTAGTTCCTGCTTGATTTTTCACGAGATCAGCATGTTTCTTTTTAGCTTTTTCGCAAATAATTTCTTCCGATACGCTGTTGCCAGGAACTGTTTTTCAGTTATCCAAATCAAAAGCAATTTCTCGACATGATCTAATGTCTACGATCTCTGTTTAGAAATTGATTTAACCCCTTTCACAATATTAGCAGATTTAATAATGTCTTTATTTTTCACGATTGTCGATATCGTCGTTCTCAGAATACGGAATGCAACAGTTAAATCTTGAACACGTGTGTCACCTTCACATTTCTCAATAATCTCTTTTTTCAGTTCCGTTGTGATTCTAGTCATTTTTTTATTTTTCTGTTGCCCTTTTGCAATTCATGATTAATAAAAATAATAAAATGTTACTTACAAATTAAAATCAGAAGAAATTTAACAAAGTTATAAACCGTAGCACCGCGAACGTCTAGTGTAGTGTAGTACACCGATAGTGCTACTTGTTGATAGATGGCGCGTATAATTGAATTAAGTCGTATACCGAACAAAAGTCATATACCGAGCAAAATTTGTTTCGTCCAAACAGGATGTATTCCGAATTGGACGTATTCTAAAGCAGACGTATACCGAGGTTCCACTGTATATACACAACTTTAATTAAAATGGCTGACAGTATATTTTTTAACTGTTTTGTATAATTCAGCAGAGGCATAGCCTACAATAAAAGTTGTCTCTGTGAAGAAAGACTGTTATTGTCTTCTGATGATTGGACATGGCGAAAAGAAGACAATTTAGTTTCTTAAAATTTTTAATTTTTTAATTATAATTAAGAAAATAGAGTAACTTCTTACATTTTGTTTTTCAATTCCTNGTTGCCTGGAGGATTCTCCCTTTTTCAATTTAATGTAATGTATGTAATGCTCTGTGGCCAGGTTGGCTAGTGTGATCGTGTTGTGCCTTTTCCCCCTTTTTTATCATGGTTATATGTTCTTTCAAATGTTGTTAAAGTGGGTGTATTGTGGCAACAATGCATTCCATTTGCTGTTTGAGAGCAATGTGAGTGACTAGAATGGAGTTAATGCCTGTGAGAAAGTCCTTGATATGGTCTTTAGAATTTCTCAACAAGAAGTATACAGAAGGGTTTTGTCTAATGGCCACAGATATGTTACTGGTCCTCACAATTTCAGGTAAGTCCATTTCAAATGTTGGTTGTAAGTCACTGACTTGTATGGCCTATCTTCCATGTTGTGTTTGGCTGAGAAGAATAAAAGTTGATAATACCCTTAATGATCCTAGGCTGGTAACTAGGGTTTTTCAAATGGAATCCCGGTTGTTTTTTAACCCGGGAAATCCTGCAAATTTCTTAAAAATTCACTTTCTTATCATGTGTTAAGATTGTGGAAATTTTGCAAATAAAAAGTATAATTAACTCATAAACTGTCAGAATATATTTTTATTTATTAATTTTAAACGTACTTATTAATTTTTAAAATTTTTCTTGTTATGGCATGTCACAAATGGTCAATAATCAATATGTAACTTATTTGTGGCCATATTCTGAAAATTCTTTATTTGTCAGAACCTGTAATATCTGGAATAATTGTGCTTATGCTGTCTTAATTTTTAACCATGCAATAGCTTCAATAACTGTGTAATGCCAGGTTGTGCAAATTGGGCAAGGATACAAACGAGTATGAAGTCTGCAAGTATGAAGTTTTTCTTCATAAACCCAATTATTAAAAACAAAGGAACAGCCAAATTATTGGGCTATAAGCTCAATGTTTCTATTAAAACAGCTGAGGTAGACAAATCAAAAATACTAGACAGCAAAAGTACTACTACAATTTTGAAAATGAACTAGAAATCTTCTAGATTACAGATAAAAAACACACAATATTTGTCTTCTCTTAAATGCATTAAACACGATTCCACTCACATCAACTGAATCGGAAAGGGCATTCTGGGTAGCAGGACTTTTTATTACTAAAATAAGAACCAGATTGAGTGATTGGAGTATTGACCATCTTTGCTTTTTAAAATCTTAATACAAAATATTATTGTAAATTTTTATAATATGTTTTATTTAAAAAATGAAAATACCTTCTAAGTTAGAAGTTTGATCTAAGTTCATTTTTTTTTTAAATTTTCAACTCAATTCAAAGCATTTTTTTGTTGTATGTAGTTTCCAGCAAACTTTAATAAATTTTTTCTATTTGTGAAAATTTCCACATAATTCAAAGGTAATTTTTAATATATATCTTACACAGCATTATTAATGTGATTTTGGAGGTTGCAGAATGTATTAAATTACTTTAAAAAATGAAAAATAATTATATCATTTGATTTCAAGATATTTTGTATATCTTAAAAATAATTAATTCTATCCCAGGATTTCCCAAGAAACAGTTCACTTTTATCCTGGAATCCTGGGACAAGCAAAAGTCAGAGAAATGAGAAACCCTAATAGTAACTATATTGTGCTGTAATGTTGATGATGTAATTTAGCTGTTCAGCCCTAACTTCATGGTTGAAAATATGCACAAAGGATATTCTGTTAAGAGCTCTAAATGAGAGTATCACTTTATAAGAGAAGGGATCATACGATAACACAGGAATGAATAAAGGATGGTAGAAAATTTCCTGTATATCAAAGCAGATATACAGCCTTCTTGAATATTGATGTTGAGATTAAGTAAATGTACCACAGAAGGGCTTTCCTGCTCCACAGATATAGACCAAAAGGGTTAGAATTGATGGAGTCAAGGAAATCCTGAAAGTTGGATCTGCAGCGCCATAAGATAAGGATATCATTGACATACCTATTGTATGTCAATGATATTGTATGAAGTGATACATTGTTCAAAGGAAGGCAAGATGTTATTCTCTACTTGTTGAATTAGCAACTCAAAGAGGATGCCCAAGATGGGCATCCCATGGGTACATCTCTGCCTTGCAAGTACATTCTCCCTTTGAACCAGAAGAACAAATTCTGGCATACAAGATTGACAAGTTATAAAATGTTAATGTAGTGTTTGCTCAATCATTCAAATGCTTGAAAAGAAAACTGTGACATTTTCAGAAACACAGCTCTAATTTTATTGATAAGTAAAGTGAATCAAAATCACACATAGTAATATACATGTCTTTCCCCAGTTGTAGATGTCGTAACCATTCCACTAAGTGTACTGAATCGTTTACAACCTGGTGGTGCTGCTCAAGATTGTCATTGATGAAGTGATTGACTCTTCTTTCAATTCAGATGGATGGAGTGGTTGATTTGTCTAAGAAAGGTCTCAGTTGGTAGCCTAGTTTGTGAAACTTAGCAAAGGCTAAAATCCTTGGAACAGAGAGAACAGAAGTTGAACTGTTGGTTGTGAGTAACAAACATGACAAGGAAACTGGGTTGAATTTAAAAATTATAACAAATTTTAAGTCTTATCAGTAACTTCAGTGCTCGTAAATTAAAACAATTTTTGCCTTTCTTCAATAATGCCACATTAATTAAATTAATTAACATTAAATATACAATTTGAATGATTTTATTTTCTTCTAATTTTCTTTTCTCTCTCAAAAGAAAAATGGGAAACACTTTATTAATCTTAATTCATTTAACAAATCTTTTTAAAAAATTATTTAATAAAACACTTGTCACCAAAAGCATATTTTAATAAATAAATTTAATAAGTGCAACCAAAGCTATTATGGTGACATTTCAGGACAAGACGACGACATTTTCATAGAAAAAAGATTAGTACCAAAACTTGCCAATATGGCACTGCAGGCATTGAAAAGCAGTTTCACTTATGGGAAGGAAGATCTTGGTTGGTATATCAGCAGAATATATCCTTAAAGTAAGCACAATAAACATAGAGAGGATGTAAAAATATGAAAAATATCCATGGTTCTAACCAAAGATTCACACTCTAAAAGCAAAGCTGAACATGTTTGTCAAGATATTATCCATTACTAGATACTGCCTGTTAGGCCTGTTGAAGAGCAGTTAGATAAGACACTGTATAAAGAACTTCATAAAATCAATAGAAAAGTCTACAAATAGAAAGAATTCACTACCATTTGTTTTTTTATGCTTCTATCACTTATAATATTTTTTAAAACAGTTTATCTTTGTTTTTAAAATTTTGTCTATTATTTTAATCAAATCAGTAGATAAAAATGAGCATTTATTATTATTATTTATATAATTAGAAATTATAATTGAAACTAAAACTGATGAGTCAATAAATGTCATAACATGCAATACATTTTCAAAATTGGAATTTTTTCATTAATTTTATATGTAAAACAGTCAAACTTAATTTCAAGCGATTTACCATATTTCATGGCATATAAGGTTTACTCCCATCTCCGCATAGAGTATTTAGGAAAAAATCTACTGTATTTAATTTAAGCCACCCCAATGTCATTAGCATTCAGCCTGATATTTTTTTTTTACTGGATTCTGGTTAATGGCACTCTAACTGGGACTGTGTTGCCAAGTCCCAATAATAAAATAATAGTAAAATTAGAATGCCACTCTTATTTATCGGGGGAAAAGGAGTTTAATAAGTCATTTACAATAAAACGTACAATTAAAATAATCTACACGAATATATAAAAAAGCCATTCAGCTATAGCAAATAATAACAACAACATTTTATTCAAGAGTTGGGTTAGGTAGAGGTTACCTTAGCCTAATGAAGGACATTTGGAAAATACCTAGGATAAGACAGGATAGGATTTATAAGCAAAAAAAAATTGTGCAGGAGTCTCACACACGAAGTTATAATCATCCAACCATCGGACAATTATTAATACGTCGGGTTCTCGGGACGTTTACGTACGAAGTTACAACATCCACACTTAACAAATTTACTCGACCGCTTTATTCTTGCCGAGAAATGTTTATTTACATAAACACATTTTCAACCTAATTCAACAGATCATCATGGGGAACAGAACAGCGGTAAACTTTTCGGAAACGTTTGGATTCGGTAAACAAAGCGAACGAAACCAATCTCCGGCACAATTTTACACGAAAGCAAACGTTTTCTACCGCATTAAACGAACATCGTCGACAGTTAGCCTTAGGATGCCATTTAACACATTTGCTTTAGCGTAAAACCGTGCCAGAAATCCGTTCCATCCGCTCCGTCTATTAAGTACGCCCAGTTTCGAGCAGTCTAATAATTCGGATTCGACGGTCCACGCCCAAAGATAACCCATCAAACCGGCTCGAAAACATCTGCGTTTACGTAAACAAACATTTCTCGGCAAGAATAAGGCAGTTAAGTAAATCTGCTAACCATTTCCCACCGAAGAGTGCATCGTTTACACTTCCCATCGGTCTTGTGTGACTGTGGGAGATTGTAATTTCGCATATAACACGCAGGGCGAATTTTTAGCCCCTTTTTTCGGGCAAAATTGGCATCTTATATGCCTTAAAAGACGGCAATTATGTCAGTCGGTAAGGTTGCTTCTACCTGAAAAGTTTCACGAATAAGAATAATTGAAATACGATTAATGTACATAAAGTAAAATTAAGGCCGGATCATTGATAAAGCACGAGGTTAAATAATACTTACGAGAATTACTTTGTCTTGTTCCGTAACTCTTGATTCTTTTTTCTTAAATCTCGAAAACAGAGAGCCCATTTTTCAAATAATAATTGTTCTAATTATTATAAAAATTAAGTCATTCGTCAATTTTTAATTAAAGAACTCCTCGTCCTCTCCATTCTCTGCGGGGGAACTTTAATCCGTCACGCCGGAAACGGAAGCGCGTCAGAAGAGTCAAACTATATTAAAATATAATTACAATTAATGATGATAAAATCATTTGAATTTTATATATTAATTATATTTATGTTATGTTTCGTAATAATTAAATCGATAAAATTTTTAATTAGTTGTAATTTTCTTCAAGAAAAGTATGATGTACGGGGGCAAAACACTACTGCACTCTACGCTATGTGTTGCCTGTCGCAATAATGGCATAATGGCGCATCTATTTCGCCTTATATCATTGTGGCAATAATATAATATACAGTGAAACCTAACTTAACGAGTAAAACAAATTGTAAAAAATGACTCGCTTAACGAGCGATCTTTCGCGTAACGAGTGACGAAGAGAAGGAAAGTTCCGGAGTGTGAGCGTGTTACATCAATCTGTGTTTAGCACTCGTTCGGCTAGTATCGCTGGTGATCGCACATTTTTCCGAACTTGTGTTCGGACATATTACGTATAAACATCAATTACCATAGTCCGTTATATAATAAACACGCCAAACGATATGCCAAATATTTGAGCTATGTAAAGGCTATAATTAAATATTAGATTTATAAAAATGTAGTCAATATTTTGGGGTTAGATGCAAGGACTGTATACTACAAGGATAGCCAGATCCCTATTCTACAATGTTAGCCAGGAATGGCAAGTTAGTGACGTCAGCACGTGTCCTGACCTCTCTGTTTACATAAAGCAGGGTGTGCACGTGTTTAGTTTTCGCTTTTACTATTCGTCCAATTTTGTGATTAACGAAGTGATTTATTTTAATATTTCTGTAATTGTTTTATTTGACTAAGTTTTTTATAAGGTAAGATGATTTAAATATAAGTCATTAAATATTTAAAGCTATATTTTTATGTTAGGTGAAGAACAAAATACTGAGTACTAGGTGTGCTGTGTATGGTTGCAATAATAACCTTCTTTTTTCAAATTGGAAGCAACCTGTTTACATCGGGTTTGATCAAAAAATGACACGAGAAATACTTTTAAAATTAATAGCAGAACTTTATTTACTATCGTATAATGTAGTAGCTTGCGTCAGTGACTGTAGTTGCAGTAACATAAGTTTATGGAAAGAATTGAATGTGAATATCAATGAAACGTTTATTATGAATCAATTATTATTATCAATGAAACGTATATTAGAGATATAAATATGTGGTTCGACATTTTTAATAGCTATGCACCAAAAGGTTCTGTTCCAAGCAAAAATGGATATGGTGTAGACTTGGAATTACAAGAAGAACATTTAAATAAAATGATAAAAATAATCTCAACAATGAGAGCAAGTGGAAAAAATGCCCTCCAAATTTTCCAGAAAGGAATGATAATCTCAATGAAATCGCTAATTGATCTTTTTCAAGATATGAAATCGACTTTTGATATAAAATACATCTGCACTCACAATTTAAATCAAGATTGTCTGGAAAACTTTTTTTTTTATCAAATTAGAAGCCGGGGTCCTAATGAACATCCAAGCCCATTAAATGCTATATATAGGATTAGATTGATTATTTTAGGTAAGAATCCTGGTATTTTAGAGTCAAAAGTAAATACTACAGATCGAAGACAAGAGGAATATATTATACCCAAAGTTTTAGAGAAAGCACATGTAGAAGTATCAAGTGAAAATACAGACCAATATACTGAATGTAAAACTACTTTTTCTTCAAATAAATCTTCAGGAAACTCTACATGCAATCTAGACTTTAACACAATCTCTGAAGAAACTTCCTACGATGCTCTCGAGTATATAGCAGGATATTTTGCCTATAAATATAAAGAAAAATACCCAAACTTAATTAATTCCACTAACAAAATTAAAAATCATTACAACTATAGCATTCCGTCATGGGTGCAACATTTATCTTATGGAGGGCTTATTAAACCTACTGATGAATGGCTAGCAAAAATTATAGAATGGAATAAATATTTCGAAATATATCACGATGAATCGTATAAAAAAGGCCCCGGAGTTGTACAGAATTAGTCAGTGGAAACAGTTTTACCTTTTACTTTAATAAAAGATTTTTGTAAATTAAGAACTATAATAAGAATTAATTATAGAAATCTTAAACAAGAAAACTATAAAATATTGAAAAGAATGCCTTCTGAAAATGGTGATTGTCGAAAAAAAATTAAAAAGTTAAGTAAGATAATCACATAATAAAAAATATAGCTCATTAATTTGTTAAATAAATATTAGACAAAAGACTTGTAAATTTATTGACGTACAGTACACTTATTAAATCCGAAAATTCTACAGTAGTTTACATTTAGTAGTAATTTAATAATTAATTAAGAAATGATTTAATATTTTATCGTATTTTGTTATTTGAAAGGTCTGTTGTGTTGAAGTAGAGGACTTGCTGTGACGTCACATAGATCCAAGATCACGCTAACAAATATACGGGATCTGGCTATCCTTGTAGTTTAAAGTCCTTGGGTTAGATGTACGATATTATCTAAGTTGGAAGTATTTGAACGGAACTACCTAGTTTCCTAGCAATTGGTCGAACAGCCTAAGAGTGTATAGAGAACAAAAAAACAAACATTTTCATTTATGTACATATTTTTATATAATAGTAAGAATTATTCAGAATATATTAATTATATTTTTAAGAAAACAAAAAAAATAATCCTTCTATACAAAAAAAACGGTTTCGAAAACAGGCTGGCAACATTACAAAGAAGTAATTGTGGTAACACACGTGCGACTAAGAGTGCATTCGTTAATAGCAGTTGCTCCGCGTCTCCGCTACTACGGGAGTGCGCTGCTGTTTGGGTGCGTTCTTTTATTCCTCCGCGGAACTCCGCGCAAGCGACATCCGTTTAAAAATTCCTGCGGAACGCGTTCCTAAATTCCGGTCGGAGTGCGCGCCGTCGAACGGCAAAAACGGCCGCTTGTAACAGTAGTTTGCGGTGGAAAGCAACATGGCGTCCTCAATGGGTCAGATAGTTTCGTTTCGGGGTCCATTATGTGGTTTTATGAATGAAAATTTAGAAGTTGTGAAAGCGCAAGTTAGTGCACTCGGTGATGTAAATGTCTTTTCGAATTTTTTTCGGATGGTAGCCGGCATTCTAATTTTTTTCGTGGCTATTTTGAATGCTTTTTCAACAAATAATCCATTTTATGGTTAAATTTTACAATTGGGACTCTTTTTTTGCCTTTAAAAGCTCATATTTTAGAATTATAGATTCCTCAATCACGATACTGTTGATAGTGCGAGCGCGGCCATCTTTCTTTCTTTCACCGTCGTTCCTAAATGCCTTCAAACAGCAGCGCACTCCCGTAGTAGCGGAGACGCAGAGCAACTGCTATTAATCGACATTGGCGCCGACGTCTCCGTTTATCCAGCTTCACGCCTTCCTAAGCGCTGCTTAGAAGACTATCGACTCTTCGCAGCGAACGGCACAGCAATCAAGGCGCCGGACAAGTACAGTACATTCTGGCTAAGCGCGAGTTCGAATTCACGCTGGCTCAAGGGATCTGCCGACCGTCCACCAGCAGCTGGTCATCGCCATTACACCTGGTCCCAAAGAAGAACGACCAGTGGCGACCCTGCGGTGACTACCGTCTACTCAACGCACGAACCGTACCCGACCGTTATCCTGTTCCTCGCATAGAGGATTTCGCATCCACCCTTCACGGTTGTGGGTACTTCTCAACCGTCGACCTCGTCCGTGCTTTCCACCACATCCCTATAGCCTCAGAGGTTATCCCTAAGACGGCCGTCACCATACCGTTTGGACTATACGAGTTCAACTTGGTGTCTTTTGGTTTGTGCAACGCCGCAAACATTCCAGCGCTTCAAGGACGAAGTTACTCGTGACCTCGAATTTTGCTACGTCTTCATCGACGACATACTTATAGCGTCCCGGAACGAAACTGAACATCTGCAGCACCTACGCAAGTTATTTACCAGACTTGGTGACTACGGTGTTGTAATCAACGCATCAAAACGCGTATTCGGAAAGCAAGAAGTACAATTCCTCGGGTATGTGGTCAACCCAATAGGAATTCGCCCACTTCCGCAAAAAGTCGAGGCAATTATCGAGTTCTCTAGACCAACTACCGTCCGCGATCTACGCCGATTTCTGGGACTAGTCAATTTCTATCGCCGCTTCATACGCAACAAACTGCTTCAGGGCAACCCGAGTCCGAAAGATCACCTCGAGTGGACCTCCGAGGCCGACAGTGCCTTCCGCAACGTAAAGAACGCCGTCGCCAGTGCCAGCGCTGCAATGTAGCGAACCGTTTCTAAACGTTTGCTGCAACCAAGATAAAGCAGCTTTTACGTCCGCTACACGCGTAAAGCAAAATGGACGCTTGTGTGTATAATACGATATTATGCCGTAAAAATAAAAAAGTCGAAGTGACTATTGATAAAAATATTATGGAAAGATTAAGAAGGATTAAATTTTATGAAATGACTCTGAAAGTTATCTAAAGAATAAGAAAATACTATATTTTAAATATAATTATATATCTTTTATCTCTTTACTTTGTTCACATNTGTGCTGTAATGTTGATGATGTAATTTAGCTGTTCAGCCCTAACTTCATGGTTGAAAATATGCACAAAGGATATTCTGTTAAGAGCTCTAAATGAGAGTATCACTTTATAAGAGAAGGGATCATACGATAACACAGGAATGAATAAAGGATGGTAGAAAATTTCCTGTATATCAAAGCAGATATACAGCCTTCTTGAATATTGATGTTGAGATTAAGTAAATGTACCACAGAAGGGCTTTCCTGCTCCACAGATATAGACCAAAAGGGTTAGAATTGATGGAGTCAAGGAAATCCTGAAAGTTGGATCTGCAGCGCCATAAGATAAGGATATCATTGACATACCTATTGTATGTCAATGATATTGTATGAAGTGATACATTGTTCAAAGGAAGGCAAGATGTTATTCTCTACTTGTTGAATTAGCAACTCAAAGAGGATGCCCAAGATGGGCATCCCATGGGTACATCTCT